TGGTAGCCGTATCGTTCGTCCAATAACCAGGAGAAAGAGAGAAAAAAGAGATGTTGTAATCTTTCGACTGCATGCCATTGCCAACACAGTTGTCAGCACCAAATTCAAACTGATGCTTGCTGTCCTTCACGGTTTAGTTTATTTTTGTTAAAACAGCAAGCCACAGTCTTACCAGGTCACCAAAATTCAGGGGATTGTATGCAAAGAGCGATTGTCATCCAATTACAAAATGGTCATCTCTTCCAAAATGGTTCCTTAGTCCTGAACCTCGGAGGATCCGGGATTCAGGGCTCAGTGATCCGATCCCAGCATCCGTATCTGGGATCTGGACGTAGGCTTGGTATGAATGTTCGTCTGTTTACACTGCATGTCTGCTCTGTCTGACTGGGTTAGCGTACGCATCTGGGTGCCTCTTACACGGGGTGAGCATTCCAAGCAAATGCCTGAGCTGTGTTGTGGCGCCGCGTGTCTGAGCTGTCCTTTGCGTCCGCCGTTGTCTGAGCTGTGCTGTGTGTCTGCCGCTTGTGAGCTGTGTACTGTGCGTCGCCGCTGTCTGAGCTGTCTTTGCGTCCGCCGCTGTGTGAGCTGTGCTGTGCGTCCGCCGCTGTCTAAGCTGTGCTGTGCGTCCGCCCGCTGTGTGAGCTGTACTGTGCGTCCGCCGCTATCTGAGCTCCTGGCCCGGCAGCATGGCGAGACGGCTCTGCACGCGGCCGTGTGCACGGCTTCCCGGGCATCGCCTGTCTGCTGAGCCGCGCCGGCGCCAGTCCCAACATCGCCAACCAGGTGAGGCCACGGCGTACACAGAGACCACTGGCGCACCTGAGTAACGGTCACTGGTGCACCCGGGCAAGGGTCACCGGTGCACCTGAGCAAGGGTTACTGGTGCACCTGAGCAGGGGTTACTGGCACACTCGGCAAGGGTCACTGGCGCACACAGAGACCACTGGCGCACCTGAACAACGGTCACTGGTGCACCCGGGCATGGGTCGCCGGTGCACCTGAGCAAGGGTTGCTGGCGCATCGAGCAGGGCTGGCATCCAGCAGGGTTACTGACACACTCGGGAAAGGGTCACTGGCGCACACAAGCAGTGGTCACTGGTGCATACGAGCAAGGGTCATTTGCGCACCCGGCAAGGGTCACTGGCGCACGCAAGCAGTGGTTATTGACCAAGAATCTAATGAGATGGTTGACATCCTGTCTTTCGCATTTTCCTAGACCTAGGTCCTAGGTCGGCCACCCATAACCCGACTCTTACCTGATTTGGTTACTGACCTCTGGCCTGCCGCTGACCTGACATCTGACCTGCTCTAGACCAGAACGTCTGACCTGGCTACCGACGTGAGCCTCTCTCCAGCCTCAACAATACTTCCTGTTCTTTCATCCAGTCTTGGTCCCTTGAACTGACGACATCCTGAGCCTTGACCTAACTTAGACTTGACGCCTCATATAACCTGACTTGACTTGACTTGATTTCAGACCTGAGCCTTGACCTTACACTGACCAAATCTTCCCCTGACAGGACGCGTCATCTGACCCCTCGTCTGATCTCCGATCTGACGACGGCATGGTGTCTGACCTAATGTGACCTGACCTGACTCGGCAGGAGCTGGAGACGCCTCTGCACTGCGCGGCGGCCCGCGGTCATCTGTCGGTGGTGCGCTGTCTGCTGGACAGTGGCGCCCTCTGCGACACGCCCGACTCTACCGGCGCCACCGCCCTCCACTTGGCGCTCCGGCGGCGCCACCAGCCGCTGGCGCACCTCCTGCTGGAGGCCGGCGCCAGCTGCGACGTCGCCGACCACGTGAGCTGGTGACGAGTGGCGCGGGGGAAGGGCGCACAAGCTTAGTGGGCTGTGTTTGATCTGGGCAGCTATACACCGGATTGTCAATGTTCGCTGATGGTCGCTGACGGATAGATCTGCTTAACGTACGCTGCACTCTTCCCTGTGTGTGCTTTCCTGACCCAATGCGTCGAAGGCCAGTGGCGGTCGTTTGTCGACTGGCTCATCTCGGCGTGAGTTCTTTTTATGTCATTCGCCTCTAAATTACCCGTCTGTGACTGGTATGACCCATGGGATCAATTTTAAATAGGCATATCCGGCGTACGTTTTTGTTTACCAGGGCGTCGCTGCACTTTGTTCGGGAGAAATGCGAGTATGTACTCCCTCACCTCTCCTCCGACACGCCGGATTCCAACAGCTAAGCCCGTGGTGAGGGTGCGTGGAGATCTGTGCCCCCACTCGTGTGAACTGTGCCTGTGTTGCACGACAGGTTGGAGAGAGGCCTATTCACATCGCGTGCGCCGAGGGTCTGCTGGCGGCGGTGCAGGCGCTCTGCACGTACGGGTGCACGGTGGACGTGGCCAACAATGAGGGCCTGTATCCCGTCCACCTGGCGGCCAGAAACGGCCACACCGAGGTGGTGAGGTGAGTCCACGAGTCTGGAAGGTAATCAGTGTACCCAGAAGGATGGTGGTGTGAGCTCCTGATCCTGGACGCTGCTGCGGTAAGGTTCGCACCCAAAAGGATGGCAGGGTGCGTTCCTGATCCCAGAGAATGCCAGGAAGATCTTCATGCCGTGGGGGATGGTGAGATGAGAAGGCCCCTGATCCCAGAGAATGCCGATGAGATCTTCACGCCACGGAGGAGGATGAAGTGAGCCCCCCGATCCCGGAGAATGCCGATGAGATATCTATGTCACGGAGGAGGGTGAGGTGAAGCTGGCTCCCGGAGAATGCGGAGGAGGTCTCCATGCCACGGAGATAGTGAGTGAGCTCCTGATCCCAGAGAATGCTGAAGAGACCTCCATGCTACGGAGGATGTTCTGGTGAGTTTTCCTGATCCCGGGGATGTTAGGATGAGCTTCATACACTGAGACGATGGTGAGGATGGTTAGGTGATAGTATGGTACCCTCTGCCGGTACTGGGTCTCCCAGTCACCGACTCCGCCAGCGTCGGAGTGCATTATAATTGCTGGCCGCCGCTGGCGGGTGGGCCGAAGAGCACATGTGACAGGCGGATCTGTGCCACGTCATGCAGCGCCATGTAGGCTGCAGACATGTATCGGGCGTGTGTCGGACGTGTGTCGGACGTGTATCGGTCATGTGTCGGGTGTGTGTGGGAAGGGTGTCAGACGTGTATCGGGCGTGTGTCAGACGTGTATCGGGTGTGTGTGGACGTGTATCGGGCATGGTGTTCAGACCGTGTGTCGGAAGTGGTGTCGACGTGTATCGGGTGTGTGTCGGACGTGTATCGGGCATGTGTCCGGACGTGTGTTGGGAGTCTGTCGGGCGTGCATCGGGTGTGCGTCAGACGTGTGTCGGACGTGTATCGGGTGTGTGTCAGATGTGTGTCGGGAGTGTGTCAGACGTGTATCGGGCGTTTGTCGGGACGTGTATCGAACCTGTGTCGGACGTGTATCGGGCGTGTGTCGGACGTATGTCGGACACGCGGTCGGACATGTGTTGGACGGCTGGCGCGTCTGGCGGGTGACGTGCCGCGAGGCTGACCCCTCCCCCCCGCCGCTAGGGGTGCTCTGCCTGGCCGCTGCTCTGTGGACCAGCGGGAGCGGAGCGGCCCGCCCGCCAGAGATGACAGCCCTGCTGCGCGGACACCACGACATCGGCCTGCCTTCTCTCCCGGCTGAGTAATGTGAGCTGCCCCCCCCCCCCCCCACCCCACCCCCCCCACCCCCCACCAGCATTCTGTGCTCGCCCGCCAACATCCTCCGGACGTTGGCGGCGAGGTCTCGGGAAGACGGTCGGTGCTCAATCAGTACCATCGAAACAGTTGTAGCCGAAGGTGTGGGGCGTGGCTGCCATCAGCAAAGCAGGACTGCGCCAGTGTCGTGAAGCAGGGTGTGTGGAGTACTGCGGCTCAGTCGCTCTACCCCCCCCCCCCCCCCCCCTCCCGCATCCATCCTATTGAGAGCCGTTGATTACTTGATAACAAGCCGTTTAAATTAAGAAGTGACAAACTTAGAGAAGCCATCTATTTTTTCCTGTATGCATAGCATTGCTGACCTGCGCTAATCTGGGTGTTCTACTATTCGCAGAGCGAGGTTCGCGAAGAGTTCATCAGTCAGCTGGTGCCGAGTGCAAACCCCATCTCGCGGATAAAACTGAAGCTGTTTGGCAACTCAGGAGTTGGGAAAACAGCTTTGGTAGATTCCTTAAAAGCTGGCTACTTCTCAGGCTTCTTCCGGCGAAGTAAAAGCTCGAGGTCTTGGAAATCTAAGCAGCTTTAAGAGTAAGTTTTATGAAATGTTGAAAACTCAGGTTTCAGACATCACATGAGCTATGACTTTGGTAGCTCCGCCCTCGTTATTATATGTTAATGATTCTAATAATTCCTATGTCCTGTTGTCAATGCTAAGTATCTAACGACACAAATAACGCTAGCGTTTGAAATTGCTGTAAACCATAAAGAGGAAAATAATTGTGTCGCTAAGGCTGACTTACAAAACATTCGTCCCTTTTTAGTGCTTAACGCCATCTTGCAAGAACGCTCCCCACAACAGTTAGAGCCAGCACCCGCCAGGGAGTCCAAGAGGTCTATCAGAACAAAACAAAATGGTATTCAGTTTACCTTCGGGTTGTGCTTGCAGTGACGCACTCTTCCCGCAACGGTCGTCCCGAGCGGAGTCCGGCGCCTGCTGGGACAGCACGATGTCGGTCCGAAGCAGCTCCCGTCACTTCACGAGGGGTATCAACATCACCCAGGTCAGCGCCGTAGACGGTCCGAAGCAGCTCCCGTCACTTCACGAGGGGTATCAACATCACCCGGGTCAGCGCCGTAGACGGTCCGAGGCAGCTCCCGTCACTTCACGAGGGGTATCAACATTACCCAGGTCAGCGCCGTAGACGTTCCGAGGCAGCTCCCTTCACTTCACGAGGGGTAACAACATCACCCAGGTCAGCGCCGTAGACGGTCCGAGGCAGCACCCGTTACTATACGAGGGGTATCAACATCATCCAGATCAGCGCCGTAGACGGTCTGAGGCAGCACCCGTTACTGTACGATGGGTATCAACATCATCCAGGTCAGCGCCGTAGACGGTCCGAGGCAGCACCCGTCACTTCACGAGGGGTATCAACATCACCCAGGTCAGCGCCATAGGCGGTCTGAGGCATCACCCGTCACTTCACGAGGGGTATCAACATCACCTAAGTCAGCGCTGTAGCACCTGCAGCAACTGCCACCACAGGGCACCTGACTTCACAGTCTGTCTGTTTTTTGGGGGGAGGGGGGGCTGGATGTGTCCTGGCCATGGTAATGAAACATTTATACCGAGAACGGTGCCAATTTCGGTGACGGCTACGCTATTTTGCTGAATGGCCATAAGCTCCCCCAGGAGGCAGTGCAGATGCCCGGGAGCGGGGCTCCCTATGCGAAGCAGGACGACTGATGCGGCGCCGAGCTTACTAAATTAGAGATGAAGTGCTACGTAAACCGTAGTCGTATGCATCTCGTTGAGAATATAAATGTGAGATGTAATACATGCCTCCCTGGTCACGGTGGTCAGGGTCACTGTGCCATCTGCGGGACCCAGCCACCAACGAGAAGTTTTGTGGGAACCACTCAGGAGAGAGGAACGGATGGCAGGTTTTTAAAGGTTAATCCCTCATGTACAACGTCCACTGGTTGCATGTGGAAACGATCGTAGAAGTACCTGAAAGTGGCATGCCCTTCAGAGGCATATGCGCATATGCGCATATGCGCTTTGTCGCAAACGAAGCGTCGATCACATACCGTACAAGGCGCTGCCACAGGGGACAGGATGCGTGACACGCGAAAAGGTACCACGGCACATATTTAACCGATTCCCTGAGGTAATCCACGTGTGCGACGAGCACAAAACCCAGCGAATCTCCGGACGTGCACGCAATCCGTATCATCCTCCCCTCCCCTTCCCCACGGTGCCCGTCCCCCCCCCCCTCGGCCTGATGCGGCTGGGCCTGCCCGCCGCTGACACGAGTGTGTCATGCCCTGCAGGCGACGCTCAGCGGTGTGGGCGAGGTGTGCCTGCCCGCCGCTGACACGAGCGTGTCATGCCCCGCAGTCGACGCTCAGCGGTGTGGGCGAGGTGTGCCTGCCCGCTGCTGACACGAGCGTGCCATGCCCGGCAGGCGACGCTCAGCGGCGTGGGCGAGGTGTCTCTGTGGGACTTCTCCGGTCACCCGGACTATCGCCAGCTGTACGACCAGTTCGTAGGCAGCGCCGACTGCCTGCACCTGGTGCTGTACCGGCTGTGCGACCCGGCGCCGCTCCGTCTCCAGCAGGTGGTCCAGTGGCTGGGCATGCTGCAGGCGTGCATCGCTCCGCTGGAGCCGTTCGGTGAGTGCCAGCAGCACCGCGGTGCCGTCTCGTCAGTGCCTCGTACTGTAATCGGCCAGCGACAGCGCGGCGGGGAAAGACGCTGCGTCCTTGTCGGCGAATCCGTTGCTTAGTCAGTAACCCGTCACTTATTCAGTGGCTCTGTCGCCTTCTCGCTGATTTGACTATGGTCGCTGACGTCAGAAATATCTGACCTGTCCCCATCCCCGCAAGTCACCGTCCATGACCCAGCAGGTCACTGTCCCCATCCCCGCAAGTCACCGTCCATGACCCAGCAGGTCACTGTGCCCATGCCCTCAGGTCACCCTCCAGCCCTGCAGGTCACTATCCCCATCCCCGCAGGTCACCGCTCCCAACCTCGCAGGTCACTGCCCCTGACCCCGCAGGGCACTGTCCTGCAGGAGTCAGGAAGATCCCGCGGAACAAGACCCCCAAACAAGACCCCGCGGGTCTTTGTTCCTGACCCCGTAGGTCACTCTCTGACCCAGCAGGTCATTGTCCCCATCCCCGCAGTACACTCTCCAATCCCGCAAGCCACTGCCCTCGACCCCGGAGGCCACTGTCCCTGACCCCGTAGGTCACTGTCCCCGACCAAGCAGGTCACTCTCCCCAACGCCGCAGGTCACTGTTTCCGACCCCGCAGGTCGCTGTCTGGACTTCGCAGGTCACTCTCCCTGACCCCGCAGGTCACTGTCCCCACCCCCGCAGATCACTGTCCTCAACCTCGCAGGTCACTCTTCCCGACCCCGCAGGTCACTGTCCCCATCCGCGCAGGTCACAGTCTGCCTGCGCCCCAGTACTGACACGGTACGGTGTCGCTGACCCGTGCCCGCCCGACAGGTCACTGCGGCCGCTCTGTCCGGCCGGCTCGTGTGGTGTTGGTGGCGACCCACGCTGACCTAGTCCGCCAGCGGAGGGACGGCCACGGCCAGCACACGGCCACGGAGGTCAGTCGCCGGGCGTCCTCGAGGTCAGGCAGCGGTCAGCGGTCAGGGTCAGGGCCAGGGCCAGGGCCAGGGCCAGGGCCAGGGCCAGGGCCAGGGTCAGGGCCAGGGTCAGGGCCAGGGTCAGGGTCAGGGTCGGTGTCAGGCAGCGAGACCCAGCCGACAGCTCTCACGATGGAATGTTCGGTTATATGTCTTCACAAACTGTGAGAAGACGACGTGAAATGACGGCTGGACGTTCTTTGGTCTGTTGTTCGCTTTAAAACTATGTCATGACTGAACTCTGCATTCGGTAGATTTGAAATGAAATAGCCAGCTTGTAGGATGCAAATAGGCCGACACAATTTTGTTTTCGGTGAGGCGCGATACGCTCTATTTCCTCGTTGGAGTGCAATTGGTCTTGAGCTCATTTCGTTTATGTGTATTATGCATAGTATCATCTGTTTGTGACGAAACAGAGGCGAAGAAACGGCACTCAAAGTATTGCAATGCAGAAGATTTGTCAAAACAGGCTCCGTGCGAGTGCTTTACACGCTAACAGAATTAGGCCAGTGGCAACGCCATTGGCCAACGTATTCAAACAGCGGGACAATATTGGCGAGCAGGCCTAAAACCTCACCCTACTTCGTGGTGGGATGTGGAGCACGGCGCATTCGGACATGCTGTTTTTCTATATTTCTCTCTCCAAACTTTGCCACGTCCAGCAGTTTTTGACTAAATCAAGTAGACTGTGTGGTCATGCTTTTTATTCACGCTGCGTGCTTTTTATTACAATCATGGATGGAACAATGTCTTTGGCTGTTGCGTCTCAGTAGTTTGCCGTTTTCCCTTGATGTGAAGGCTGCATCTTCACCGTGCACTGTAGATGGAAATGCTGATGAAAACGGTGCGACAACGGTTTGGCACGGTCTTCGATCTGAGCCCGATGACGTTCATCCTGGACGCCACGTCCTCCACATCTCCATCGCTGAAGCACCTCAGGGCTCACCTGGCGCGGCTGAAGACTCGCGTCACGCAGGTCAGTGCCGCTGCGCCTGGGGCGGAGCCACACCGGGCCGCGGCTGCAGACACGGGTCACGCAGGTCAGTGCCACTGCGCCTGGGGTGGGGTCACACCGGTCCGCAGCTGCAGACTCGGGTCACGCAGGTCAGTGCCGCCGTGCCTGAGGCGGGGCCACACCGGTCCTCGGCTGAAGACGGGTCGCGCAGGTCAGTGCCGCCGTGCCTGGGGCGGGGCCACACCGGTCCTCGGCTGAAGACGGGTCGCGCAGGTCAGTGCCGCCGCGCCTGAGGCGGGGCCACACCGGTCCTCGGCTGAAGACTCTGGTCACGCAGGTCAGTGCCGCCGTGCCTTGGGTGGGGCCACACCGGTCCTCGGCTGAAGACTCTGGTCACGCAGGTCAGTGCCGCCGTGCCTGGGGCAGGGCCACACTGGTCCTCGGCTGAAGACGGGTCGCACAGGTCAGTGCCGCCGTGCCTGGGGCGGGGCCACACCGGTCCTCGGCTGAAGACTCGGGTCGCGCAGGTCAGTGCCGCCGCGCCTGGGGCGGGGCCACACCGGTCCTCGGCTGAACACTCGCAGGGGAGGCTCGACGGAGACAAACAGCGGACCCAGTATCTTGGCTTCCCACGACTATTGGCCGTTAAGAGCGGTTGCTACACAGGCAACGAATTAAGTTCAAAACTCGCGCAGAATTTGTAATGGAAAAACAAGAAACAAGTGGGAGAGTATACCGCAGTTTTCTACACAGCACAGACTAATCCCTATTCCTAAGCACAAACATAATCCCTAAGCACTAACAATAATCTTATCCCGTTAAAGCCAACATCCGCGTTCCTATTGGACCCAGACCTCTGCCTATCGGCACATTCAGTATACGTAGACAAACAAAAAGCAAAGAATTGGCACGCAACATGAATTCCGCTGCATTGGATACTCATAAACTCGGACACAAGAAATACTGACTCGCAAAACTTCCACCCCGGAAAAATAGACACCTAGAATTGATATACACAATGTCTAGACGGAAACAGTTGATTTTAGCTGTTTCGGGCACGGCTGTCGGTACGTCTGAGTAGAAGGGGATCCGATGGATGGTTGGGGCACAGACTGATGCAACAGAGGCTTAAATATCGCAGGAATCGACTGGTTAGTCTCGTGGCATGACCAGAAATGCGTAGTCAGGCTGCTGCCCTTTTCACGAAATTGGAGCAGGCGATAACAGGCTAGTGCTGCCCTTTCAATAGAGACCAAGGTCTACACACATGGTAGCCTCAAGGGCACGTGCCCCCCACCCCACCCCATCCTCCCTCCCTTCCCCTCACCAAATTTAGGACATGAATTAGTGCTACGTGACTAACTGTTGGCTGCTGAAAATTCCACGTAGTTACGTAACAACAAGAAGATTGAGAAAATGTGATGTTTTTTTTTTTCTAAGAAGAGCCAGGCTATTTCGCGCGCCCGCAGCGCTAGACGTCATCTTCAGTAGACATCTGTATGTTTTGCCCTCGCGCATTGTAAAATCCTGCGTACGCCCCTGAGTGTAAATGCATTTTAGAGGGAATATAGAGAAGTGTGGCTTAGAAGTTTGGGACGAATCTGTCCCAAACGGATTCAGGACTCCTTTTTAGTTCTGTAGATCCGGCCTTTAGACATTTGCCACGTGAAACATGGTTTATCCGTGCACAGTTGTGTGGCCCATGTGGTCACTAGCTCATCAGCATGTGTTTAGTTTACACTTCCGATCAAAGATCGCGGGCGTACTCGGGGCGGAACGTAACAATCTGCTCGGGGTGGGTTGTAACACTGTTACATTGGACCCCTATGGCTGGCACATTCAACATTTCATTCCGGACGGTTTGCAACAGGGCAAGAATAACAAACAGAGGAAGGTCGTTCCAAACAGGTACGTTTAGTGTAGTTTTGCAGGCCGGAGAAATAATACGAAAGGCGTCACAAGTTTATGGGATGCACCACGTCACCCTGATGTGCTGTGTAAATCGAAAGAGGAAAGGGATAGAGAGAGGAGGAAGACAAATCGAAGTGGGCTACAAACCTTCGTCTCGTTTTCGTCCTGAGGAGATGGGAGCATCCTCGCTTCACGCCTGCTAAAATCGGCAGAACTATTTGACCTTCCTCCCTCGGAGGTCATAAAGCTGGCTCACCAGTGTGCGGTGGCAGGATACCTAGAAATACCAAGGTCATGAGCTAAAGCGGAACGGGTAACTTATCCATGTCTGTAATTCCCTATGCAACCATCGAAATTTCGTCTAAACCTGTTCTATGTCTGCATGTATATCTTTTGATATTATCTTAGCTGCATTTTGCTTCCACTTCCCCCATTTCAAACACCGCCTGACCATGCGCCAAAGGCTTGGGCGCTATGATATGCCCAACCCAGTCTAAGCCAAAGTTTTTGGCTAAAAGTCTTGGCTGGGACCAGGACTTCACCAACATTCACCGTCGTTCTAAGACTAGTTATTTGGCGTGATCACTCGCACTCCAAACTGACACACGCCAATATTTGTGACATTACGAGCGGAAAGGGTTCTCAATTCATAAAGATGAACGTCAGCTGAGAGCTAACTCAGCTTGTGAGCGCGTGACAGCGATGCATAGACCATAGTCTTACCTCTGCCTGGATAGCCAGGTCCCGTTTCAGTGCGTAGTTGCCCCGGGGGGTTGGCGCCGCCACGGTGATCCCTTAGCTACCCTTTTACTGCATACTTGTACGCAGGAGGAGCGGAATGGCGGGCATTACATAGCACTGCGCCGACAGCCAAATAGTCGGAAACACCCCGTCACTCCATCTTGTCATGTAACAGGGCAGCTAACTCCTCGCCCCCCCCCCCCCCCCCCAGCACACGCCGTAATAACTTGTGATGACGTCGTTCTCGTATGGCTCGTAATGACGTATGTGCGGTTGGTGGATGGCCCCGCAGTCGTACGTGTATTTTCCTCTTTTCAAGTCAAATGTCGCAGTTCTAAGTATTCACGTGACCACGGTCACGTTGCGTAAGCCGGAGGCGATTTTGGTAGGTGGCTGCGTCGCCGCCCAAAGTCTGACATTGTTGTTAAAACAGAATGATTGGTGTTGTCTGGGCACGTGACAAATCAGCGCGACCTGACGCATCGATTGTCCACCTGTGTTGTGTTGGATGGGCACAACTCAGGTCATACCGGCGGCATATTATTGTGGCTCAGCTGGTAAGACCCACGCTGTTCCATGTCCATCCACGGACTCTAGTTGAAAAAGTACCTACCCAGTGCTTTGCCATATGGAACTTTTCAGTCGATGACCCCTGGTGGCCAGTCCCTGCTTTGTCTTCCTGACAACCAGGATCTGCACAAGACTGAAGTCATTGGTGTCCTGTAGAACGCCGCACCACGAGCGCTGCTGCTCAGAACGCGCACGATTCTGTGTCCGGTTTTCCCACATTGGCATCACCTGCAGGTTCAGTGGTAAAGGTACATGAAATCCCTGGCCCTGTTCTTGCGCTGCGCGCGCCGAGGGTCCCAAGGCTCATTGGTGGGAGCATTGCGCGTGATTTAATTTTGCGGTCAGGTGCAGGTGTCCACAAATCTAATGGGAGGACTAGGGGATATGGCAAACCCGTGTGCATTGCCAGATTATTGTCAGCCCAGCGATGGCACAGCCCGATGCCACGGGACTTGAGGTTTATCAACAGCCCTCAAATCAAGGCTTATTCCAGCGTTTTCCGCTCTCTAGGACAAGCGGAAGAAAAGTACACTCGCGACCAGACTTTTCAACTTTCGACACGTTCTGATGCTGGACCAACGATGGGAGATACAGCCGTCATTCTGCAGGCTCCTCCGCGCTCATTCTTCCAGGCTTTGCGGGAATTGTGTGGCCGATTTTCGAGAAAGGGTGGACAAGAATAGCAACGCATGAAAGTACCGTCAAAGAAAGCATGTTACTGTTACTGTACATCTCACATTTAAGCAGTAACCGCGCATTATTGAAAAGCTAATTGTATTACACAGTGGTGCACTTCGCCTTGTTAGATGCCTGCCTACCAGGGTGGAAGATGGTTTTGATTTGGTAAGATTTCTTGGTCCACACCGCATCATCTTGGCAACACCATCCCATCAATGTCACCGAATCATCTGATCGAAATGAAGCGTCTTTGAACCGATATTTGGTGCTTGCATGCAATACTAAAGTTGTGCCATGTTTGCAAGCTGAGACAGACTGCCGGAGAAGTGGCTGAAATGCAATATGATCCCGTACCTGAAACGTTAGGAACGAGACCCACCCCATCCGGCACCACCTGCCACTGTATAAAGTCTACAGAGCTGCAGACAAGTATTTCTGGCCAGATGGGTTCTCGGGGTTCCGCCGTAAGGGAGAACACAGGTCATAGAATGAATGCAGTAGCAACGTGGAATGACTACGTGGTCGGTTGTACGGTCGTTGCACTCGGCGACGTATAGCGTAAAGAAAGGAGCGGGCACACTCATTCGCTCTGGCTCTGATTCTCGCCCTGGTTGTACACACACACACACACACACACACACACACACACACACACACACACACGCACGCACGCACGCACGCACGCACGCACGCACGCACGCACGCACGCACGCACGCACGCACGCACGCACGCACGCACGCACGCACGCACGCACGCACGCACGCACGCACGCACGCACGCACGCACGCACGCACGCACGCACGCACGCACGCACGCACGCACGCACGCACGCACGCACGCACGCACGCACGCACGCACGCACGCACGCACGCACGCACGCACGCACGCACCACACACACACACACACACACACACACACACACACACACACACACACACACACACACACACACACACACACACACACACACACACACACACACACTCTCTCTCTCTCTCTCTCTCTCTCTCTCTCTCTCTCTCTCTCTCTCGCCCTGGCTCGCCGTAAGGTTAACCAACCTATCACGTCTTGGTATTTGTACACGGCAGCCGAGGAAGATTGAAGTTTTGCGGCGCATTAAGGCCCTGTAACCCATATTTTATTGTTTGACTTGTTGGGAAACGTGGATTTGTTACGTTGTGGGCATCTGGATTACGTTACCTGAATTTCCAACGTACTTCGCAATCTATTATTCATGCATCTATTCTTTGTAAAGGTCATTCAGGGCCAATGTCTCAGAGAGACAAATGTTCAAACGGCTGAAGTTGAATAACCCCCCCCCCCCCCCCCCGCGTCCGTTACTTACGAGTCAGTCTAACTTTCCTTGCCAGTTGCCATTTTCATTACACAACTGTCATATAAAAACACGCCATAAATACTACAGTGTTACCTTTATTGCAGGGCACGCGTTGCCGGTGATTCGTAGCATTTAGTAAATGTATGTATATATGGGACAGTAGGCGTGTTCAACGACAGTGCAGTAAATGGTGCAAACACGACCTGGTCAAGGTTTCAGCAATAATTGCGTGCATTTAGACAGAAAGCCAACCTGTTGGCAGGTCCGCGCCCGTCACCGTCACCGTTACCCACGCCCGTCACTGGCACCGTTTCTGACCCGTCACTAACGCGGCGTTTTACCCATCACTGACACAGCGTCTGATCCGCCACTGACGCGGCGTCTGACCCGTCACTAACGCGGCGTCTGACCCGTCGTTAACGCGGCGTCTGACCTATCACCGACGCGGCGTCTGACCTGTCACTGGCGCGGCGTCTGACCCGTCACTAACGTGGCGTCTGACCCGTTACTGACGCGGTGTCTGACCCGTCACTGACGCGACGTCTGACCCGTCACTAACGCGGCGTCTTACCCATCACTGATACAGTGTGTTACCCGTTACTGACACAGCGTGTGACCCGTTACTGACACAGCGTCTGATCCGCCAATGACGCGGCGTTTGACCCGTCACTAACGCGGCGTCTGACCCGTCACTGACGCGGTGTCTGACCCGTCACTAACGCGGCGTCTGACTCGTCGCTAACGCGGCGTCTGACCTGTCACCGACGCGGCGTCTGACCTGTCACTGGCGCGGCGTCTGACCCGTCACTAACGCGGCGTCTGACCCGTCACTAACGCGGCGTCTGACGTGTCACTAACGCGGCGTCTGACCCGTCACTAACGCAGCGTCTGACCCGTCGCTAATGCGGCGTCCGACCCGTCACTGATACAGCGTGTGACCCGTCACTGACACAACGTTTAACCCGTCACTAACGCGGCGTTTTGGTCCCAGGGTCTGCCGAAGAGCACGGGCTTTCTGGAGACGATGGTGGCGCAGGTAGGCAGCTGGCGCCGCCTGCAGCCTCACTTCCCCATCATGACTTGGGCAGACCTGGTTGAGGTGGTGCGTGACCAAGTCAACCCTCTGGCCGGCGAGGAGCACGTACAGGAGGTGGTGCAGCAGTTGCAGTTGATGGGCGAGGTTAGTCACTCGAGCCACACCCACACTCTTCCGCTGGCCGACGCCAGCGCACTCCTTAACGTTCAGTGTACTTCATCTGCGGCGGATGTGTGTACTCACGAATGAAGCTGCGCGTGAAACCTACACAAAATTTATTTTTGCAGCTTTTCTGAAAGTTTTTCAATGTTTTAATGCGCTCAAAGAGTTATAAGAAATGTAGTTTTAACCGTAATGGGACGTCGCGAAACCGGACATTTTGTCGAAGTCTGCCTTCAAAAAGCGCGTTGTGGTTTTGCCCATTACTTACCTCCTCCCTTTTGTGAAACCTGTGGCGTGGCGCTGTTTTGTGAGGGTGCAACGGACCTAGGGCCACCGGTTTATCAGCATGCATTTATTTGCCACCACCGCGGATTGGCGTTCGCCGTGACGGTACATTATTTCGCTGTGTGGTGGGTGGGACATGCCACGGCGCTGACTTTAGGTCACTCTGCCGACGTGCCATGAAGGGCCGGCCAGGCTGGGGTGCTACGCTGCGCGGCTCGGACAGCGGCCAGTGTGCGGTAGGTGGGCTCGTCTGACCGACGCCACCCCTACCCAGGTGGTGCACCTGGCAGCCGGGGCCGCCGGACAGGACCTGGTGGCGCTGGCGCCGCGCTGGCTCTGCGGTGACGTGCTCGGCCTGCTGTTCTCCCCCGACTTCCGACGCCGCACCAAGGCTACTGGTGAGTGGGACGGAGTGAGTGAGTGAGTGAGTGAGTGAGTGAGTGAGTGAGTGAGTGAGTGAGTGAGTGAGTGAGTGAGTGAGTGAGTGAGTGAGTGAGAGCGAGAGAGAGAGAGAGAGAGAGAGAGAGAGAGAGAGAGAGAGAGAGAGAGAGAGAGGGAGAGAGAGGGAGAATGAGGGAGGGAGAGAAGGAGAGAGGAGATGCAATGGTCTGGGCAGTTTCGCGTCGATAGGTTATCGATTAATGGGCTTACTGGCTACCATCGGAGCCGATTCGGGCAGCCATTGGGGTTTTATTTCATACGCTACCCCTGGACGGGCGGGATTAGTTGCAGCCACAATTGTACGACGTCAAATTTGGGGAGAACCCCATTGCGGACGCACTTTCGGGCTGGTTGTAGCGATTTGACGCACGACTATACATTTAGGAAAAGCAACACCTTCCGGAGATACCAGTTCTTTAAAATAAGTTGCGCGAAGGATCAAAGTCATCTAGCGTACATTGTTAGTTTTTTAGTCTGGGCATACGGATTTTTTATGGATCCAGTACCAACTTGCATTCCTCCGGCACCACCTGATTTTGCTTCAAAACAATATGGGGCGAGGTAAAAGTGCGGAAAGACGAGCACTTTCATTATTAAATTGATATGTAACGAACTCGTGAAATCTCGTCGAACCCCCATGGTGCAGCCTGAGTTTCTTCAGAAGAGAATAAAACTTATTAAACTTAGAATCAAACTGATTGCGGTACCACGTAGTGTGTGTACTGGGGATGTTTGCACCAGATGTCTTGTCCTAAAAGTACCAAAAAATCCTTAAGCTACGTGGAGCTTCCATTAATAGCACAGTGCTGCAGATATCGCTAAAGCCCACAGTGCACAAGTTGTGTACGCCACAGCGGTAACAATCATCATCTAAATACGGCTGGTCGAGTTCAATACTTTGAGCCCGACTGGGACCAATGCCAGCAATATCTGAGCGCACGACCGTTCTGCTGTCCACTGGCCATACTGGCCACCGACTGAACATCGTGGTGAGGTTTGTGCGGTTATCGGTGGTCAGTCGGTCTCGTGGTGATTCTGTGTATTTGGGGACCCTGCTCGTCTTTGTTGACTGTTAAATTGACAGCGCTGACTTCGTTTAACAACCCTGACAATAGCAAGTCCAGCCGCCTGACTGACGTCAGAGGGATTTATTACTGCTTACCACGATGGCAGCCAAAATTCCAACGGCCGCAGCTTTCAGGAGTTTCTCCACAAGCGAAGTCTTGACACGCAGTAGATGATGTGTAAGCTCTGATGACACGGGACTCGGAGCCGCGCTCACGTGTTCGCTGCCTCGGCCCGGCTATGACCGTCACACGTTGTGGACCATTGTTCAGACCAGTGTTCTGACCCCTGTCTCGCTGGGGCGACAAGGCATTATGCGTTCGTGATCGTCCACGTGTCAGCAGCTAGCTGTCTGCCCGCAGGCTGCTACACAGTACGAGAGTTCCAGATGCTGATGCCGCAGTGTGACGCCCTGGACTTGCTTCAGGTCCTAGAAACGCTACACCTCTGTGCTCAGGTAAGGCTGCGGCTGCCCAGTCTGCAGGGATACTGCCTTTGTGGGTGGGGGTGGAGGACAGGGAGCCAAGGCCTCTAGGCACTGTGTGGGCTCTCCCTATCGCTGTTGTAGCAACGACTTCACTGCTTCAACGGCTTGGATTCCCAGATATGTGGTTTGAATCCCACCATCAGTCCTTACATTTCTCAAGCCCCACTAGCTTTTTAAACACACACGTTTTTCCTTGCACGGTCAGGTATTTTGGTGAGCATCAGTTCTGGTAAAAATGGATTGATCGCGCGCTCTCCGTTAGTTATTCCACGTGTTGCATTGTTTCCGTAAGAAACGACCACGAAGATGAAACGTTGTCGCCAAATGCGCGGGCAGTTGAGTCTGAGTCTGAGTCTGAGTCTGAGCTTGTTCCAAACCGTTCGTTGCGTTTCTGTAGGCTGGGTCAGATGAACTCGCAGAATGTCGTCTCACCCCTCTTCACTTACGCCATGGAATGTCTCACAGGTGTAGCGCAGCCAACCAGTCGTGTGCGCCAGAACGGCCCTTTCTGTGTGCGCGTAGAATCTGACTCATGCCTCTCGTATCATCCCCATGGGGTTGTACGGGGTGAACGCGCACCATATAGGCAACTACCTAATTCCTTATGCTTTATTGGGTAATGCTAGCTATGCTGTAATGTCTCAACCTGTCATCGCATCACTGTATGGTATCAAAAAGCGCAATGGCCGGGCGAGAGCGGCCCTTTGCCAGCATGTCTCGCCCTCGTAATGTCCCCGTGCGGACAGTCTCGCTTTCTGCAACCGATGCCCGCAGTTAATCTGGGCTGACCTGGGCATCAGGGTAGTTGATACAAATAAAAACATTTTAACACCTTTCCGATACTTCGGACAGTAGTAAAAATTGATAATTGACACCAAAAGTTCGTATGGGCACGGATGTCTTCTGCGCCCCTGGTCTGGAGACAGCCTCTTCGCTTCAAATTCACCATCGAAGCGACGTGCGTGGCTGTCTCGACGCCTGCCTTGCGCATATGTTGTGAAGCTGACAACGATTTGTACATCTTCGGCAGTGTGATAACGACGGCGACATCGAATACGAGTTTTCCTGCTACAACCGCGTGGCGGCCGTGGACGGCGTGTGGGACGTTCCGCCGTCGGTTGGCACCAAGCTCTGTTACGGGGGTGTGCTGCTGCGCCGACCGCCGGCCGCCGGCCAGCTCACGGCGCCGTTGCTGCCCCGCCTCCAGGTGAGCCCCAGCCAAGCCCGAGCCCGAGCCCGAGCCCGAACCCGAACCCGAACCCGAACCCGAACCCGAACCCGAGCCCGAACCCGAACCCGGGCCCGAACTCAAGCCTTAACCCGAACCCGAACCCGAACCCGAACCCGAACCCGAGCCCGAGCCGAAGCCCGAGCCCGAGCCCGAGCCTGAGCTCGAGCCCAGCCGAGGTCGAGCTCGAGCTCAGCCAAGCCCATCCCAGCCACACGGTTCTGCCCTCTGACAGGTCTCCGCAAAGTGTCATATAGCCCCGCGGGCCTTCAACACACCCGCCCGGAACGGCCGGCGCTCTGCGATCCATCGTGCCGCCGGAGCCTGACAATGTGCAGATGCACAACCCTGCCACGATCTCCTGCAGCTGATGCTTCAGCGCGGTGCCGTCAGGTTCAGCTACGCTGCTTCGCCCAGGAGTACGCGGAGGCCGAGCTGGAGCTGTACCAGTGGTCAGACGGCTCCAAGCTCTGTGCTGACCGGCTGGAGGCCCTGCTGACGCCGTCGGCCGACGGCCGGGACCTGGAGCTCAAAGTGCGCGGGCCCGCTGACGCACGCGACGCTTGCTTCTACCTGATGGAGGATCTGCTATCCGCCTTGGAGCAGGTGCGGTCTGGGCAGATGTATTTTTGGACTAACGCCATGTGTTGTGTGCTATGATTTAACTGCGAAACAGAGTCAGGTGTTGTGATTTGACCCATACCCTAATTAATTGTTTTTAATCATGTGGACTGATATAACGTATAAGGAAGACAGAGCTTTGCGGAAAACACCAGCGGATTGGTTTCAGCGAGAGCTCGCGATTGGTAATACGATATCTGTTTCCATGTCAATAATCCATCCCATTATGCCAGGTTAAAGGCCATTTTTTCCGAAAATCAAAGTTTTCAGTTTTGCATGCTCATAGGTACGGGACCATGCCTCTTGGCGATATAAAACTTTACGAACGAACAAACTTAAGGAAACGGAACGAAGTACGCATGTTCTTGATCAGTTATGAGTACAAGTGCACCCGCCACCCGCTCAGGCCGTAGATTGCCGTTAAGTGTCAGGGGCGCCACTTTGCATGCTTTTGGGGAAATGAGCCTCCCAATGCTGACATGATATAAAGGACGATTAACTTGAAACAAAGACTGACTGATGTAAAGAAAAAGCGCCCAGTGACTCCATGAACTACCTCAAAGCAGATCAATAAATAGGGAATACTGTGTCCAATAAATACAGAACAATAAATAACCTTGCTATCGGTATACTAGGCAGTAAGTACCTGAGCACTATATATGACGCTATTAGTATCACAGATAACACAGTAGTAATGGCTCTATTCCTCGGGGAAAAAACAGGAGAATGCAGATATGGTTGGGTTGATGTTCCGACAACCTGCCTTCATCGAAACAATAGCAGAGGTGAATTAAAATTGCCTGCTGATGATCCTATTCAATTTTAAGATTTTCCTTGAAATAGCAAGCCACAGTTTTTACAGGACACCAGTATTTAGGGCATTAAACAAACAGCGATTGCTAGCCGTGATCGCGACGCAGTGCCTCTCTAAGAATTAGAATACGCGAACATACGTGTACACGCAAACGAATTCAGGCAAATAGTCATCGCGCATCACGCTTCATTCAAATATGCAAGCGAGTTGAAGAAAACAGGCATCACACATCACGCACCAGTTATACATGCAAGCGATTTCAATTGAACAGGCATCGCACATCACGCGTCAGGCATCACACATGTAAGCGATTTTAAGCTAGGACACATCACATATAGAGCCACATATCACGTTCGCATAACTGGCCATGATCAGCCCTGTGTGTCAGGATTTTGTCACCGACTTTTTATAAGAATAGATTTACTTATTTTCCTGTCTGGGTGGTCCTGTGCTCTATAGATGGCTTTGAGCTCGCTTTTAGACGGTCCTGCATCTAGAGTTATAGGGATGCCAATGCTGACTTGATATAAAGGACGATTGACTTGAAACGAAGACTGACTGATGTAGAGAAGAAGCGCCCAATGCCTCTCTTACAATTAAACAGGCATCGCACATCACGAGGTTATTTTTCCGTATTTATTAGGTACCTACTACCTACTACCTAGTGTAACAATAATAAGGTTATTGTTCCGTATTTATCAGGCACAGCATTTTCTCTTTACTTCTATGTTTTGAGCTCAAAGTCAAAGTCCTTACAACACGATTTTGACCTCACATGTTTCACTCTTTATCAACGCCGTAATTTTTTAAAAATCATTATTCGAAATTACATGATCAAGGCATTCCTTTTCCTCCCATTCCTTCCTATATGGTTTCTAGACTGCTTAACTGTCGCCAGATGCTCGAGACTGAGCGATTCGCGGTCATGGTGACGGTCAGCTAACCAGCCCCTCTGCCGGGTCTGTTCACGGCGCCATCGTTGCCAAGGCGCACGGCCGCCAGCAGCGCTATACCAGAGCAGAGCCATATCAGAGCTACACCGGAGCTTAACATGCGATGCTGCTAAACAGGAGAAGTAGGGGGACGTTATTAGGCAGCCGTTAATAGTCTATGAAATGGTCATCAAGGCCAGTATTGTTTTAGCTGTAAACAACGGGAACCCCTATGTTTTAGTCCTCTGTGTCCTCTATGTCTTAAATGTCCTTTGTTTCAGGCTCGCTAAATCCTACTTAATCACGATGTATACTGGTCTGATTGTCCATTTCGACGTTCCGGTGAACTTACCCCGAAAGAATGTATACGGTGTTTATTTCAAACGTACGAAAAACGCAATTTTGGACGCCCCAGGCACCAAATAGCAGCACTGCTGGACCCACCACGCAACTGGCGCCTGACTGGGACGATAGAGCAGCTTTATGACCGCTGTTTGACGGGCCCCGTGCCCGCCGTGACCTTCGGCCCCTCGCACCGGCAGGTGTTCGCTGAGGTGAGTCCGGGCCTGCTGGTGGAGCGGCACTACCTGTCTCCGAGCGACCTGCGACGCCACCTCCGCCAGCCGCAGCCGCACCCGCCGGCGACGCTGGCGGCGCTGCTGCTGCAGGGCGGGTCGTGCGCGCCGCCGCCGGCCGGCACCGCCTCGCTTGCCGAGCTGCTGTGCTTCGACAGCGCGCAGCTGCTCGACGCTGTGTGCTGGCCAGCCGAGCTGGCTGTATGCTGTGTGCCAGCGGCGGTGCGGCAGCGGCTGTGTGCCGCGCTGGACCCGGCCGATGCGCTGGGCCGTGACTGGTGTCTGCTAGCCGTGCAGCTGGGTCTGACCGAGCGGCTGGCGCGGCTCGACGCCGGCGACAACCCGGCGGTGAGTCGGACGGCGCGCCTGCTGGCCGAGGTGGCGTGCCTGCCGCTCGGCCGGCTGCACGCGGCGCTGCTCCAGATCGGCCGGCCTGACGCCGCCGCGGAGCTGGCGGCCGGCGCGCCGCTCTTCCGGCAGCGCGTGCCGCCCGCGGGTGACGAGGGCAGCGGCGAAGAGAAGGCGGTGCTGCGCACCTCGTCTGGCTCTGCCGCCAGCTCGTCCACCGTCAGCCGCTGAGGTCCACCGTCAGCCGCTGAGGTCCACCGCCAGCCGCCAAAGTCCACCGTCAGCCGCTGAGGTCCACCGTCAGCCGCTGGGGTCCACCGCCAGCCGCTGAGGTCCACCGCCAACCGCCAAAGTCCATCGTCAGTCGCTGAGGTCCACCATCAGCCGCTGAGGTCCACCGCCAGCCGCCAAAGTCCATCGTCAGTTGCTGAGGTCCACCTTCAGCCGCTAATGCCCACCCGGAAGTCGCCTAGGGTCCCTTGAACTTTACTTTTGAATTTTTGACTGGAGTCCACTACCTGCCACTGACTTTCACTGAGGCCCAACGTGAGCCGCTGATGCTGCTGACCAGAGCTCGTGAGTTGTTCCATCACGTTATTTAGATAGTCTGACCTGCTGCAAGGAGAAGTATGCTGCTGGATATCATCATCCCTGGCTAACAAAAAAAAAACGGATTTTCCATCATCTGCACAATCTCAGCTCACCGCTACCGGTGTTACCATTCGTCGGGCACGCCTTTATAAGGGCACTTGAGGGCGGTACGTCGATGGTGACGATGGAAAATGCTTGAATACAGCTGAGTGAAGACAGGACGTTATTTAACAATAGTAATGCGAGGCGAACGCAATGCAGTCGATGGAGGCATGCATGATCTACCTGTGATTATAAACATAATGCTGGCGTGTATTAACGGTGTAGAATTACGTGTTTTCGAATAAAAAGCGTGTTTGCGTGTTGTGTTATCCATTGCTCTCCTCAAACCATTATTTCTGCGGCGGGCAACATTATTAATTAAGTTTCAAAAAATCTCCAAGCTTGACCACCAAGATTGGCCGAATAATTTCTCGGTTGTTACCTGCAAAACCAGTTTTACAGTTACAGTTGCAGTTACTTCATTTAAGGCGCATCCACGTGGTGGTTGTTCTGTTCTTAGTCATACAAGAAAAAAGAGCCCACACACAGTACAGGAATACACACATACGCCTGGACGCACAGTTTTAGTCAATGAGTCGGCGATTAACAACGGTCAAGACTGCCTGGCGCGAGGGGGCGCGGACGGTGCCGCCTGCCGCAGGCAGCCGTCCGCGACGGGTGGTGGGGGCGCGGACGGAACCGCCTGGTGGTGGTGGGGGCGCGGACGGAACCGCCTGGTGGTGGTGGGGGTGGGGACGGAACCGCCTGGTGGTGGTGGGGGCGCGGAAGGAACCGCCTGGTGGTGGTGAGGGCGCGGACGGAACCGCCTGGTGGTGGTGGGGGCGCGGACGGAACCGCCTGGTGGTGGTGGGGGCGCGGACGGAACCGCCTGGTGGTGGTGGGGGCGCGGACGGAACCGCCTGGTGGTGGTGGGGGCGCGGACAGAACCGCCTGCCGCAGGCACCCGGTTCCATGCGGCGGCAGCGCGGTGCGGAACGTGCCGCTGCGTGGCGCTCGGTTGGACGTGTGGCGGATGAAGCGAGTCGACACCACCCGAAACAGTCCGAGTTTTGCGTTGGGAAGACTCGGCGCGCGTCACGAAAAGAGTACGCAGTGCACGGGGAGATTCGGAGACTTGTAGTGCCCCGCACACATTCAGGCGGTCCCGGTTGTGCACAAGATCCGTGACACTACGCCAGCCAGCCTAGTGTGAGGTTAGTGCGCCCCTAATAGCCGCACAAGTCGAGGCATCGTCACGGCGAACGGAGCGTTTGTCGCTAGTCTTCTAGTCTTTAGTCGCTAGTCTTCGCTAGTCTTCGTTGGATTGAAGAAGTTCAATGAATGTTCTGGGTACCTGAACCCTCATTCGCTATTTTTTGTATTTTTCGATATTATATATATATGGATATATATATGCACATATACATATATATACATATATATATATATATATATATGTATGTATATATATATATATATATATATATATATATATATATATATATATATATATATATATATATGCATGCATGCAACCCAAGCACCCCTTTACATCTGACACAAAACGGAAGGTAAATATTGATGAAACCTCGCTTTAGATCAGTTAACCGTGTATGTTTGGTCAACCGAAGCCCTTACCACGCCCGCTAATTTGCATTTGAGAGAAGCCCTGGCATTTGAACATCAAGCTAGTCCAATGGATAAAAAGAATGACCCGACAGTTCTGCCAGCAAAATCAGCAAAGTGACCGTTGGGTTCCACGCGTGTTGTTAAATCGCAGGTGGTCCTAAATCGCCCTGGGTGCATTTAATCATAAGTAGGTATACTAACGTAATTTATGCTTGTCCCATGCGTGCTCCCTTCACCATATAGGGCAAAGAAGCGCTTGCGCGCTTGCTTCGCTGCGCTAAGTGAAAAATTTAGAAATTTTATCATGTATCTTTTGCAGTTGGAATCACGGTTGTAGGTGCACTGTTTGCCGAGATATCGCGCAAAAATTGAAACAGACTCGGATGCAGAGCGCGAGCGGTGCTGGCGGTCTCTGGCGGCCGCTGGCAGGAGATAGTGCATTTTGCTTGCGCTCTCTGCAACACAGCCCAACCTATTCCATGGGATGAGCGAATGATCGTGGGGTGTGGCCGGTGATTTTTGCCCCTTCCATCAACTGTCAGCCTTTTGAATGATGGCAGCACGCACTGTCGTTGTATTCAACTTTATTGCGTCGTATCGAACAGTGAACAACGGTCGGTAGCGGCCAAGTCAATTTTCCTGGCTCGCGCATACGTGGCGCTACAATCCATACCACGTGATTGTCTGTTTGATTCCCCATCGATCCATACAGCACGTGCGACGTAAGAGTTCATGCGACGCCATTATCTATTCGATTTCTTATCAATGCGAACCACTCCCCAGTACCTCCGTGCCCGTGGCACCGAGATGTGGCACAAATCGTGTAAACCCATGGAAAAGAGCAAAAGCCATCTTTCTGGCTCGTGTGTGCCCGACACGTGTAACGTGCCACGCCGCACTTGACACATGTGGCCATGGGATTTCCCGTTCAATGGCCTATCGCATCATGCCAGTCTCGTGTTACTACGTGCCCGGAGCGGAAATCCCATGTAAAACGTACAAATGCACGAAATCGGCAAAATGCGGTCTTACAGCTAGTGTGCACGTGTCACATGACAAGTGCAGCGTGACATCGAACACGTTTTAGTGATTGTCCGTTAGACCACCTATCGAAGCATGCCAGTCGCTGTGCACTTTACTCCCTGGCTTCTGAGATATCACGAAAACGTGCAAGCCCCTCAAAAGACCGGAATTTGTAAATTCATAGTTTAACACATAGGCGCCATGACATGTGGCACGTATCACCAAACATTATCATCACATACCTTCCATTCATCATTGAAGCGCGCCAATCCCCTGTGTGTTAGTGCCATAGGTGCCAAAATGTGGCACGAAAGGTGCGAATCCGTGGAAGAGAGCAAAATCCATCTGTGATCCGTGCCATGTGATACGTGTGACCGTACCATTTAGATTATTTCAACTTCGCATCCTGCAAGTTGTCGTGCAATTTGCAGCGCAACGGTGCGTTGCAGAAACTCGCGATGCGGCTAAAAGGGTACCCGCGTCAGTTGTGAATGTTGGGAAACAAAAGTAACGCCTGTGCGCGCACGGCGACCGCGACGCACAGCGCGCCGCCGACTGCCATGCCTGACCCGAGCTCGCCCCCGCCGACTGTCACCCGCTGGCCCACTGCCGCCGTCTTGATTTCTGTGTTTTAAAAGCATAACTCACTGCTGTGGAATGTTTAAAGCGAGCTGGATGATTGTCGAATTTGACCGTGTCCCGAGAAAATTTCACTAACCATTAGTTCACGATGATTGACGTTACACTCCCAGCCGATTTTGCATTCTCTTTTAGAAATGTGAAAATGAACTATCAATAGTTGCATTGTACGGTACAACATATCCCTGCCCACATCCCATATTCAGAAATGTGAAAAGTTACAGACAGTGGTCAAACTGTGTGGCACAAGATCTCCCTATAAAGATGCTTTACCTCTCTTCGACATTTGGGTGCGAATGGGCGTTTCGTGAGAATGTGTTACATGTATTGAAGCAAAATGTGCCAGTCATCACGCACATTACAATTCTATGTGTATTCCGGGTGTTGTTTTCGTATTGGGACTCTTTCGAAACACGTTCGTGAATTATTCACTTGTAAATGGCAAAGTGAGTTGCATCATTCATTTCACTAATTAGGACTGTTTTCGTTGCAAAACGTTGTCTGGTTACATCCATGACTTAATGATGTTCGCCTTTCGCTGGGCTCTAGAACAATGTTGCCGCTTGAAGAGTCATTGAAATAAGGTCAAAACCATTCGCTCATTGGCACCCTGTCTTTATCCGTGCACTGCATCCGCTGTATGAACGCAGGTAACCCATGCTCCATGCTCCCACTAGACCCAGTGTATTGGCACATAATCGCACACGTCGGCAACCGACAGGCGAATCCATTGGCGCAGCGATGGGGGGCAGCTCATCACACGGGACAGCTCCCGGGAGAACTTCACCCTGGACAGCCCCCGGGAGAACTCCAACCTGGACAGCCCCCCGGAGAACTTCAACCTGGACAGCCCCCGGGAGAACTTCACCCTGGACAGCCCCCGGGAGAACTTCAACCTGGACAGCCCCCGGGAGAACTTCAACCTGGACAGCCCCCGGGAGAACTCCAACCTGGACAGCCCCCCGGAGAACTTCAACCTGGACAGCCCCCGGGAGAACTTCACCCTGGACAGCCCCCTGGAGAACTTCACCCTGGACAGCCCCCGGGAGAACTCCAACCTGGACAGCCCCCGGGAGAACTTCAACCTGGACAGCCCCCCGGAGAACTTCAACCTGGACAGCCCCCGGGAGAACTCCAACCTGGACAGCCCCCCGGAGAACTTCAACCTGGACAGACCCCGCGAGAGCGCTTCTCGGTGAGCTGCCACCCCGGACAGGCCCCGCGAGAGCGCTTCTCGGTGAGCTGCCATGCATGCTTCGCAACACCCACCACGGTGAACAGAGCACAGCACTGCGATTCGTATCGCACAGCTTGGCGATCGCATTCTCATACTGCATACTCAATTTCAAGGACTGAATCTATGACTAAAAAAGCGTTCAAGCGGCGAACAGGTCTGATTACGAAGAGTAGATATGGATCCACACAGATCACGAAAAACTGAAAACTTGGCACCGCCTCGCGTTGACTTCAGCTTCAGTTCGTTACAGGAGCGCGAGTAGAACAGATCGCACACGTCGAACACGGTAACATCTCGTGGTCGCGCGCACTGGTAAACCGCACACACGACCATTGACCGCACACACTGTTGAGCGTTGGGAATGGGTCATCAAACTCGACCGCCCCCACGAAGGGTTTCTCGGTGAGTTGTCATGGAGTTTTTCCAACACTCAACAGGTCGCACAAATCACTGCACCGTGCTCCGTTCTTTACGGCCCAGTGATGAGGTTATTATACGGTCTTATCGGTGAAAGAAATATTACCAAAGATTTGTTTGCACTCTATTTCCTATTCAGCGGTTTTACTTTGGTTTCCCCAGCAACAAGTCGAAAACTGCTACCGCGAAAAACATATTTGGATCTAAACAAACGAAAGCTGAAATGTTGTCGATTTTGCCATGAGGTCAGTTCTGCGATAATAAAATGAAATTTGGCTTCGGCCACAATACTATGGACCAAGACGCTGCCCTACTGGAAATCTTCCTACAGCCTGCTCGCCTCCTGCTGAGGCCGCGATTTCGCAGAATTATTACAGGCTGCAGGAAACTCATGGAAACAAGAAAGACACCAAATGCACCAAGACGGCGTGCAACCCTTTCCACGCGTTTAGCTTTTAATAGTTGTCGTGCTAGTGCGCTCCCTTTAACTCGTACCATCAGAAAATTGGCGCCCTCCACACGTGACGTGAGAAGGAGGAAAGGGGTTTCTATGGTGGGTAACCGAAACGTAACAAGAGAGGAAGGGATTTGGACAGCGGAGCATTATGCCGAGGAGTGGTTACAACTCATGCCAAAGCCTTTTTATAACGTTCCAAAATCTCAAAGTATGATATCATTGGCTTTCTATAACAAACTGCGCAACCATTTTTGTTTCGCACCTCTTACTATATCAGGCTGAAATGGATGTCACCTTTTAGAGCCGTTACGCCCAATACCACATAACCAGGGAGGTGTTTTCCTGCAGGATAACCAGTGAGTGGGAATGTTAAAAATGCTAAGTCCTGGCCTTGAGTTATAGACAGCCCTTTAAATACATATTTAGGTATATATATGTATATATAATATATATATATATATATATATATATATATATATATATATATATATATATATAGTGGAATGGCTACAAATTATGCCAAAACCCTTGCAAAACGTTTGAAAATCTTAAAGTCTAATCCCATTAGCTTTTTCACGATCAACTGCGTGACCATTTTGTTTCGCACCTCAGACTACATCATGGTCAAGCTGACGTCACTTTTAGCGTTTCGCTTAATGCCGCGCAACCAGGGAGGGGTTTCGCCCACGGTAACCAGTGTGTGGAAATGGCGAAATGTTTAACTTTTTATTGGGAGCGCCGCAACTCTGATCAGCATGGGAATAAAGCTCTGATGAAGTGCGGTTTCTGCGCAGGTGCCAGGTGCCGTGCTGGGTGTAAAGACCGTCACTTCCAACTATGCCAAATGGCGAAGATGACATAGTGCATATTTGCACACCGGTGCAAAACACAAATTGTTTCACCAGAAAACCTGCCGAGGTGGCGAATTCAGAAACCTTGGGCCACATTCACCGGCGTTTGAAAACGATGTTTATGCGCGCCACTTTTACCGCACTTGCGTAAACCTGAGCACATCGCGTGCGCGAGCCCTAAATCCGGGGAAAGAAATTTGGTAGACAATGCCCGCCGCCGAAAAAAAGTGCAAATTACGGAGGACAACAAGGTTTGAAACCTTGAAATATGATGAAAAAATGTTTGAAAGCAGTTATGGTCTAACGGAGCTTGACAGCAGGCGTTAAACTCGATCAACATAACGCAACCAGAATTGCAGCCATGCCGAGAAACATTATTCCCTACGCTCCCTTCACCCAGCTTTTCACACTATGTTTATATTTCCACACTACAGCTCGTTATATATCTTAATACTCTATACGCCCAGCGCACATCCCGCAAGCGCGCAGAGGCTCGACGGTTGCCCCCCCCCCCCCCTTCCCTCCCCAGGCACATGTAGCCCTGCTCCACCGTGATCCACTCTCCTTCATCCCATAGCTCTGAAATGATCATTACTGGTCGAAAGGGCTCTTATCCAAGTAGCCACTAACCAATCTTTATACTTTGCGAAGGGGATACTGCCCTATGCGTCCTTAAGACATCCGTGACGGTCCAGCCATTCCCTGACCGCAGCTATGTTGAAACCCCAGGGCCCAGGATCACCGAGGTACTCGCATACACCACGGCGCACCACCGCCAGACGGTCGGGGAAGCCGTTGAATGCGGCGCTCGCCTGGTCGTCCATGTCGTCCAGGTAGACGCAGTTGCGGTCGATGCCCTCCTGCTCCACCAGCCAGCGGGCGGCGGCGGCGCGCTCCTCCAGGCTGGCGTGCGTCTCGATGTTGACGCCCGCCTGGCCGGCCGGGCCGAAGTGCTGCGCGTCCACCGGGTGCGCTTCACGCAGGTATATGAACGCGAAGTCGGCACGGCCACGTGCCTCGGCGACGAGCCGCAGCAGCGCGCCAACCTGGTTTATGTATGGGGGTCAGGTGGCCGAGCCGAATACCAGCACCAGCGGCCGGTCGGCGCGCTGCAGCTCCAGCAGCCGCGGCCGCCGCTGCAGATCCAGGCTCACGAGCCGGGGGTCGGGCGAGCGCTGGCCCTGCACCGCCTGCTTGCGGATCTCGGCTACTGCCATCCTCCACCAGAGCATCACCAAGGGCCACTGGCGGATTAAAACCGAGTCGTCGAACTTGTACTTGGCATTTCTGAAAAGTAAACAGGATGTCACTGCGGACATGGTCAGGAAATGTGTAGCATACAGTGCAGTTGGCTGGTAAGCTCAGAAGAGGCTGGCAGCCAGAACGCTTAACAGACTGGGTCAACCCGCGGGTGGTGGCCGGATCTGCAGGACGGGTTGGAGCGGATCAGAAAAGCTGGACAACACACAGATAAGGACCGGATCTAACTTCAGAATTTGCCAAGCGACATCAATTCACAAAAACGTTCAAGTCTAGTTACGATCTCAAATATGTTTAAAGAAAAAGCATCCTAGATTATTGAGGTCACTGAGTGGATTACTTCAAAAATTGCCTGCTAACCAATGAATACAGCAGCATAATAAGCAGTTTCCTAGAACTGCTGACAAGGCAACACCATACAAGGAGGAATTTGTCACTCCTTTTCCCATATTTTATGTGAATTTGTCACTCCTACCTGATATGTATAACTACACACACGAAACCCATATTTTTCTTTCAGACGTTTTAAGATGTGATCCAAAACCAAGCTCGCTTGAAGCCGTCAAGCATACACAAGGCTCCACAGAACCTAGACACTTGAATTTGTCTAGCTCTTTGAATTTGTCAGCTCTTTGAATTTGTGTGATATCTCGGAATCATCCAGAGCACGCACATGCAAATTTACCGGAACTTTGAAAAATATCACAAAATATTAACTCTCGCCCTGATTCACCTTTGCCATCATGCATACTGGCAGGAGGGTCAACGCGAGCGCTCTAGAAGAATGCCTAATATGCCTTTCCAAACAAAGAGAGATAGAGATAAGAAAAAAGACCCCTGGATTGGGCTCAGCAGTCGTGCGATTGGTGGCAAATTCGTTTATTTTAGGCCAATAATTGATACCATTATGCCAGGTTGAATGTCAAATTTTCCCGAAGAAGTACTTTTCATGTTTTCATGTTAATGTCTACCGGACCATGCTTCGTATGCAAACGAAATTGAAACTGGCATGCTCATTGTTCAATTCTGAGTACAACAGTGTGTGGTTGTATTGTTGTGGCCTTACATGTGTGGTGTATGGTTTCGTTCACATCACAATGTGGACGTGCTCCGCGCGCGCTCGCGACCCCGTCCATTGCCGTCCCCAGCCCGTTCAGGCCATACATCGCTGTGGGCGTGCTCCGCGCGCGCTCGCGACCCCGTCTATTGCCGTCCCCCGTCCGCTCAGGCCATACATCGCTGTGGGCGTGCTCCGCGCGCGCTCGCGACCCCGTCCATTGCCGTCCCCCGCCCGCTCAGGCCATACATCGCTGTGGGCGTGCTCCGCGCGCGCCCGCGACCCCGTCCATTGCCGTCCCCCGCCCGCTCAGGCCCTACATCGCTGTGTTGCCTTCCTAAAAAACTACGACTGTTCCAAGGCCGGAGATGCTTATGGAGACGATTCAAATGACCAAACACATGCGATGGATGTCCTATTGATGGTATTGATGGATGTCCTATTGATGGTATTGATGTGAAATTGGACGCGATTGCGCGACATGCCAGAGAGGTATCCTCCGAAAACATTCGGATGGAGAGCGACGCGCCCTCCTACCCCTCTCCGCATCAGGACGAGGGGTGGAATGCCACCGATGGATCTGAATTGGTAGTTGCAGTTCAACCAGGGATCGTGAAATGCACAGGATTGCTATCTGTCTGATGTTTAAGTAATCAAATGCTGGATATTTCATTTCATTACGTTCATGCACTATGCTTTTACATTACATGTGTATTGCGCTAGGTAATTCAGGGCCATAACAATCCATACAGGATTCGGAATGTTCGATTTGTGTATCAGATATAGGATGTGATATACTTTCATGCAAGTCAGGTTATTAATGGAATCGATCAGTTGGTAGTAATTGATTCTTGTAACAGCCACGATGCTTCAAACTGGTCTACGCATTGTTGGATTTCCTGTCCCGGCGGAAAACTATCTGTGATTTGTTAAAGCGAAGCAATTATGCACGTTGAGCTGCGCCAAATTTGGCTGTTCATGGTGATAGAAACAAAAACGTGGGTATGGATTGGCTGGATTATTTAAAGACAATATTTGCTAAGACGGACAGGACCAGATTGGATTTAAGATGGAAAATAAATAAAAACTGGATAAGCGAGCGGATTGGAGTTGGGAGACCTAGAATGGACCCGACTGGATTCTACAGTCAATTCATGAGGTGCTCTATTTGCAACTCATTTGCAGCACCTTATAAATATTGCCGACAGACTGCTGCTACACAACTACGTGGTTCGTTTGTACGTATGGTCCACGACAGCTCAGCAATAGCGTTTATTCAGGAGGTCTCGTCAAAACTTTGGAGGGTATTGTCACGTCTGTTAGGATAGTGCAAAAACACTACCACACCTGAATTCTGGTCTCTCTACAAATCGCTAGGTGTTGTACTTACATGTTGTAAACCACGATCGACGAGGCGCCTCGGCGATTCGGCGGCTAAGGCAACTTACGGGAAAGTGATCTTGGAGAGCGCGCAGCGCCAGTGGAGACAGCGTTCGTACAGTGAAGGACTCAGCCAGTGGAGAATATTCATTGCTGCCCACATGAGCACACTGTTGAGGAAGCCCACCGCTGCCAGCCCGTACAGCACTGGCCGGGGAAGCGAGCTGCCGAACATGGCGTGCGCCCCCAGCAGTGTCACCTGAAACATGTTGACGACTCATAGTAAACTCACACAAGCTCGCTGCAGCTTAGGTCTGCAAGGCTTCAGTGTTTGGAGGTCTTCTTGGGATGCCGTCAGCAAACTTGCCATCTGGAAAAACTCAGTCGCGAAGACCAGATAGTCTTTCTCAGCGTTTGCGACATGCGCCCAGCCAAAAAGCGTGAGGCCACGGCAAGTCCTGAGGGTGGAAGAAGACTGTCTCCCATTGTTTAGGGCCCGTATGCCTGTATTCCTCGCAGCAACAGCCATCGTGACATTAGTCGAATGGCATGGTATAGATAAACGTTTCGGTCGTGTGCATGATATTGCAAGTTGCGGTAATAAAAGATGCTTTCGGTGAAATGTCGGTTTCTGATAACGCTGCTGAGCATGAACGTGATTGCCATGTCTTGTTATATGCAGACATGTGCCTGGTTCCCAGGATTTCTTCCGAGGAGCTGGTTCCTGGTTACTGGTTCTCAAACCAGGAAGAACTCAGGAACCAGTCTGGCAATGAGTCAAAAGATCCAGCAAGAACCGGGATCCAGCTTGACATGAAGCTGAAAGGTTCAGCAAGAACCAGGCTCCAGCCTGATACCAAGCTGAAGGAACCAGCAAGAACCCAGGTCCAGCTTGGATTGGACATAGGGATCCAGCAAGAACCAATATCCAGCATGGTATTATGTTAAGAGATCCAGCAAGAACCAAGATCCAGCCTGGAATATGCACAGTGATCCAGCAAGAACCAAGATCTGGTTCTTAGATCTGGTTCTCTTAGATCTTAGCTCAGGCTTAAAATGGGGATTTCATTTCAGCAAGAACCAAGATCCATTCTGAAATTATGTTAAGGAACCAGCAAGAACCAGAATCTTACCAGGAGTTCTTCACAGCAGTTGCTGCTTACACTCCCCACTTTTTCAGGTCCAGCAATGTGTGCTATTCTTAATGTAAATTAATAAAATTAAGCCTATGAACCTTGCTGGCTATCTGCTCATGCTGTTCGTCGTATACCATAAAACAAATCTGGTGTCCTTCAACGTTAATAACACTACAAGCTCAGACGAACAAAATCGACAACCTGTCACGATACAGGTATGCTTGATATGATATGATACAGATATGATTTATACCTTCTCACTCTGCAACCGGGCTATCAGCTGCCTAATGTTATCCTGAAGGGAAAGGTCCGCCTTTCCGTGCGTATATCACAGAAAGAAAGAATGCTATATATATATATATATATATATATATATATGAGTTTACACAAGAATGGCACAAAATGAATATCAATCGAATATCGCAACAACCACCCACAACACCGTGCACCAATGTGGCGCCGCCGCTCGTCGCTCATCAAGGTCGTAGAAAGGGGAGGCTCAACAAAGGCTACCTAGCGGGGTAAAACCGTCCGGTCCGAAAAAGTGGTAGCATTGATTTTGCGCGAGAATTTTTTAATAAATTTATTTCGAATGGCTTGCATGGGTGACTTCAGGTTCAGAGAATCCGCTAAGCACAGCTTGTTGCGTGTACCCCGAACCCACCACCAAAGTCGTGCGGTCCAGTTCAACGGATAGTTTTGTCTCCGCCCTTTTGCCAGACAAGACTGCGGAGGTTTTCACGTGCCGCACAATGCTGCGGCACGATCGCCCCGGGCCTGGGTTGACCCTCGTTGGCCAGTTGCCAGCTGACCTTTCCATGTCAGTCGGGTCAAACAATGCGCCCACTCTGGGACTCGTACCCAGGAGGTAATTTGGGGGCAAAGCCTGTATGACGTCAAGTATGCCATATCTGATGACGTCAGTGGCACGGAGGCCTCTCAGTTAGCCAGCTGACTGCTATACAACCCATTAGTTTGAAAAGTGAGTAGGCAGTGCGTATACACCCTCCAAAACGGAGGGCGGTTACGCACCGGACCTATACACCCTCCAAAAATCTTTCAGATGGTTGTACGTGTCAAGCACACGCGGATTGGCAGCCTTGGAGGCAAGAAAGTGCGGAAATGCAGAATCCCGTGCGAGAAGTTGGTTCTATGCGTGATAGGCATCAAACGATCACTGTGGTAGGTATTGTAGTGCAGCGAATTACGGCAGTGTTTCAACATGTTCCGTTGCACCGTTTGAAAACACAACCAACTCACGAGTTGATTGCGACGCGCCGGGCCGCGTGTATGGGGTTGTGCCTGAAGGCCTGCCCAGCCAGTAAACTCCCATCGCTCTGCACTGAGAGTGTATGGAACAAGATTGGCGACGAGGATATTAATTTTGATTTGTTATTTTCACGCTCAATTGCCCGCCTTAAGTTCTAAATCCCGCCTGAAAAGGGATGGCATTGCCGACGCTGGAATTGCCGCAGTTTGATGTGACGCACCCCGATCAGTGGCCTAAATGGCTCCGTCGACTGGAAGACGTGTCTGGCGATGGGAGTAGAAGATCCTGCCCGGAAAAAGGCCACTTGCTCCATTTTGCTGGCCCTGCAGTGTTTTATTAGCAAGAAACGCTGTCACACACCCCGCCTTTTCGCGAGAGGCCGCAGGTGATGTCCACAAAAAGATGTGCAGGCAGCTCGGGTCATATTTTGCTCCGCAGAAAAATATAGAGCACGGGTGCGATGTGTTCTGCCAAACGATGCAAATGGAATGTGAGTCCACTGACGCATTTGTGGCTCGCCTCAGGCACCTTGCCAGTACTTGTGATTTCACCGATTGCGCCCGGAAAATCCGCCAGCAGATGATCATGGGAGTCAGAGATCGCAGGGTGAGGGAAAAGGCCCTGCAACAGAAAATGACACTCGAGGAATTGCACCCATTTGCAAGAGGCTTCGAGCGAGCCAGAGCCCAAGCCTGTACCATTGGAGCACGCTATTCAAACAGATTTGCTGCGCCACAGGCAAATGCCCAGGCACAAAACAGTGCAAAAACAAAAGCCCACCCCAAACAGGGTGCAAAAGAAAATGCACCAAAGCAACCAGCCCAGTCACAGTGTATTGAACACAGAAAGATGCACAAGATGCAACAGCCCAAAACATGGTCAGTGGGAGTGCTCCTTTAAAAAGCAGGACTGCTTTCACTGCGGAAAATGGGGTTACACTTAAACAGCATGCCCCAACAAAGGTCAGCATGGTTTTACCAGAGTAAAACAGATGGACCAAGCACACTGTCTGGAAGCTCAGCATGAAAGGGCTCAACGCGTCCTCGAGCCTAGTCAGTACGGACCCTTGCTGAGGGGGAAGCCGTGGTTAGTGCCGGCTCGTACTAAAATTGGCGGAGTTTAGCACGCATAGATACTAAACAGCGCAGTCCGGTAACCTAAGGCTCAGCAGAGGGAATGAGGCTTTTTAGAGGTGAACGTCGTGAATCGCTTTTCGTTCTAAGGGAGTGGAAGACCTTCACGACTTTGGCATCCCTCTTCTCATTTGATTGCGAGTTGCTTTAGGACGCAGTCGGTCGGTTGGTGGTTACTGAGGAGCACGGGCGAGCGATAAGGAAACATGTCCGGAGAAAAGCTTGCACTTCATTTACAGAACAGCGTTTTCTACCGCATGAGTATGATAATGATATATCCTGAACTACAGGCCTTGGGGTATATCGTCTTGCGGGTAGTGCGGGTGATGAAACATGGTTCTTGGACTGTGGTGGTTTCTATTAGGCATGGGTTTGGCTCAAACTTCTTGAGTTAGCTAAGGAGTGGCTCACAGAGTGTCGTATTTGATTCAGCTCATGACTTAATCCTGTTCTGTTCTTAATTTGACTTCATTCAGATGCAATGCTTGCATTGAATCATTTGACTCGTAACTCGTGTGGGTTATCAAAGAAAACAGTTCTCAGCTTATTTTTGGGAGATTCCAGGATCAACAGTAAGGTGTTCATTGCTCAGGAAGAACAACAAACCCACGATGTCACAAAAAGCATTGTAATTAATGTTGCATGGTGTTCATTTCAACTCTGAAATTGTATGTTAGTCTGCCTAGAATACAAAGCATATCTTTATACTGTCAATTAAGTTCAGCCATATGACTTACTGATGCAACATTGCTAGAAATGATTGGCTCATGATTCAGCTCATGAAATGTGTGACAAATATGATTCATGTCATGATTCAAAGCAGCATTTCTCCTAGTGAACAAATGCAGCTTATAACTTAATCCCAAAGCAATCGACTCATGAGCTGATTCACAATTCACCTGGAATCAAATACGCATCCGGTTAGCATGTGCACATATGTGTGTAAAAATGGTGCACGTGAGCAGATGGTTACCTGGTTGTGGTAATCACATCAGGCCAACAGGCATTCTTTTTGCATGTTGATTGCGTTAGAAAATTTATGTGCACCTTGGCTGAATGACCTGTGTTCAACTCAAGCAGAACTGTGACTCCGTTCATGAGTCAATCGTTTTGGGGTGAGTTGTGTGCTGCATCTGCTCACCAGGAAAAACGTGGTCTTGCCTCATGCCCTGACTCCCATTTGCCATACATTTCACCAACCGAATCATAAGCCAATGATTTCTAATCGTGTTGCATCAGTGGGTCATAGGACTGAAAATAAATTGGCAGCATGAGGAAATATAGTGTGTTCTAGGCAGACTCACATGTCATGTCATTGTCAAAGTTAACACCATGCAGCATATCTCATAAAAAAATTTGCAAAATCAGCACAGAATTTTTACAGGAATTTCTAAACAGGAAAACCAATGCCATTCATCCAGAAGTTTGTTGAATATTAGCCATAAACCAGAGGATGTTTGATAAATATATATATATATATATATATATATATATATATATATATATATATATATATATATATATATATCAAACCAAAACTATTCATTCTGTTTCAGGTAATTTAAATGTCTTGCAATGCCAGTTTTTGAATAACAGAACACAAAGGGTAGCTTACTTCTACCAGTGACCAGTTTCTAATAACAAAAATTCGTAGATTTTCGGCGTAACCGTACATCTTTAGCCTAAAACCCCATAGGCCTGTTTGTGAAGGCAAAAGTGTACGATTGACAACTACAGTCTACGGTAATAAAAATACATAACAAATGCTAAGTCCATCAGAAAAGTGTATGTTAAAAAAATTATTGCATGAGTTTTTCAAAGCCAGGAACTAATATACAACAGCCTTAATTTTGATGAGTTCTTGATAAATTTGGCAAGGTAGTTAACGCAAGCATTTGTGTCGCAGATCATAATACTGAGCTTAGGAATGTTATATATTGTGAGGCAAACTACTCAAGTCGCAAGCCTATTTATCATGCAACAGCTGCAGAAGTCATAAAAGAACATAATACTGGAGTGTAAGCAAGAATTAGTGACTGTTCTAAGCCCTCAGACAAGAAGCCTTGGTTGGGGCATGCCAAGACCAAAAGACAAGGCAAAGCTGCGTGGTCGAGAACTTTTTTGGGCAAAACATCAAAATACATCTCACTTGAGGGAACTTTTGATGGCTCTCACAACACTTGCCATGATGCATCACGCGTTCATTCAAGTTGTATCCCAGACACTTTCAAAGTGAGATGTTGGCATTGCCATTGCCTGCAATGCCTGCCCTGGGTGAAAACAGAATGGTGTGCAATAGATGTTCACAAAACAGCATAGCACGACCAAGTATCTTACTCGGTTTTCTTCAAGTACTTCACCTTTTTTAGAAGAAGAAAAATCTCCAGCCACCCTAAGCAAACGGACCAAGCCCCGGGAAACGAAGGCTGAAGCAAGGCCAGCGTTTTTGGTACGGTACATATACGTCTGTTAGCGTAGTGCACCTCACACACGAGCCCGGACAATGCGATTCACACTTATTAGAACTAAACACGTCGTGCTGACAATGTCAATGGAAATGCAAGACGTCGGTCCGATGAATAAGACTCATGCATTGCCGTGAGATGCCATCATGTCGTGCAGAGGGACTGTCTTAGCACCCTCTTAAAGTAGTGCACCTCTTGTACAATTCCAACGAGCAAGGCCGGAAATCGCTCTGACATCCAGAGACATACTCTGCCGAGATGATATGCCAACAGCCACCCTAAGAAAACGGACCAAGCCCCGGGAAACGAAGGCTGAAGCAAGGCCAGCGTTTTCGGTACGGTACATATACGTCTGTTAGCGTAGTGCACCTCACACACGAGTCCGGATCATGCGATTCACACTTATTAGGACTAAACACATCTTGCTGACGATGTCGGTGGATATGCGAGACTTCGGTCCGATGAATAAGACTCATGCATTGCCGTCAGATGTTGCCATCATTAGCGGACGGACTGCAGTAGCACCCTCTTCAAGTAGTACACCTCTTGTATAATTCCAGTTGGCGAGACCTAGAAACCGCTCTGACATCCAAAGACGTACTCTGCCGAGATAATTGCCAACAGCCACCCTAAGCAAACGGACCAAGCCCCGGGAACCGAAGACTGAAGCAAGGCCAGCGTTTTCGGTACGGTACATATACGTCTGTTAGCGTAGTGCACCTCACACACGAGTCCGGATAATGCGATTCACACTTATTAGAACTAAACGCGTCGTGCTGACAATGTCGATGGAAATGCAAGACGTCGGTCCGATGAATAAGACTCATGCATTGCCGTGAGATGCCGCCATCATGTCGTGCAGAGGGACCGTCGTAGCACCCTCTTAAAGTAGTGCATCTCTTGTACAATTCCAGTGAGCAAGGCCTGAAATCCCTCTGACATCCAGAGACATACTCTGCCGAGATAATATGCCAACAACCACCCTAAGAAAACGGACCAAGCCCCGGGAAACGAAGCAGCGTTTTTGGTACTGTACATATACGTCTGTTAGCGTAGTGCACCTCATACACGAGTCCGGATCATGCGATTCACACCTATTAGGACCAAACACATCTTGCTGATGATGTCGGTGGATATGCAAGACTTCGGTCCGATGAATAAGACTCATGCATTGCCGTCAGATGTTGCCATCATTGGCGGGCGGACTGCAGTAGCACCCTCTTCAAGTAGTACACCTCTTGTATAATTCCAATTGGCGAGACCTAGAAACCACTCTGACATCCAAAGACGTACTCTGCCGAGATAATATGCCAACAGCCACGCTAAGCAAACGGACCAAGCCCCGGGAAACGAAGACTGAAGCAAGGCCAGCGTTTTCGGTACGGTACACATACGTCTGTTAGCGTAGTGCACCTCACACACGAGTCCGGATCATGCGATTCACACTTATTAGGGCTAAACACATCTTGCTGACGATGGTATAAGGTACGCTGCGCTTATAAATACATATGTACCGTACCGAAAGCGTTGGCCTCGCTTCGGTCTTCGGTTTCCGGGGCTTGGTCCGTTCCCTTAGAATTGCTGTTTACACGTTATTTCGGTACAGTGTGTCTTTGGATGACAAAGCCGTTTTTAGGTCTCGTCAACGAATTATGCAAGAGGCGCACTACTTTAAGAAGGTGCTACTACAGTCTGTCCGCACATGATGGTGACATCCCACGACAGTGCATGAGTCTTATTCATTGAATCAAACCATTGCAGCTCAACCGACATTGTCGGCACAATGTGTTTATTTCTACTTAGTGTGAATCGCGTTGTAAGGGGTCTTGTTTCAGGTGCACCGCACGACTAAACGTATATGTACCGTACCTAAACCGTTGCCTTTGTTTCGGTTCTCGGTTCCCAGGGCTTGGCTTTGTTCCTCAGGGTTCGTGTCGGGATGTTATCTCGGCGGGGTGTGTCTTTGCCTTTCAGAGTGGTTTTTAGGTCTCGCCAATCGGAATTATACAAGAGGTGTACTACTTTAAGAGGGTGCTACTACAGCCTGTCCGCACATGATGGCAGCATCTCACGGCAATGCATGAGTCTTATTCATCGGACCAAAGTCTCGCAGTTCCACCGTCATTGTCAGCGTGATGTGTTTAATTTCCATAAGTGTGAATCGCCTGATCCGGACTCGTGCATGAGGTGCACTACGCTAATAGACGCAAATGTGCCGTACCGAAAAAGCTGGCCTAGCTTCAGTCTTCGGTTCCAAGGCTTGGTCCGTATCCTTAGGATTTGTATTGGCATATTATCTCGGTAGAGTATGTCTTTGGATGTCAGAGCGGTTTTTAGGTCCCGCCAATTGCAATTATACCAGAGGTGTACTACTTGAAGAGGGTGCTACTGCAGTCCGTCCGCCAATGATGGCAACATCTGACGGCAATGCATGAGTCTTATTCATCGGACCGTGGTCTGGCATATCCACCGACATCGTCAGCAAGATGTGTTTGGTCCTAATAAGTGTGAATCGCATGATCCGGACTCGTGTGTAAGGTGCACTACGCTAATAGACGTATATGTACCGTACCGAAACGCTGGCCTTGCTTCAGTCTTCGTTTCCCGGGGCTTGATCCGTTTCCTTAGGGTGGCTGTTGGCATAAGATCTCGGCAGAGTATGTCTCTGGATGTCAGAGCGATTTCAAGCCTTGCTCGTTGGAATTGTACAAGAGGTGCACTACTTTAAGAGGGTGCTACGACAGCCCCTCTGCACGACATGATTGCAGCATCTCACGGCAATGCATGAGTCTTATTCATCGGACCGAAGTTTGCAGTTCCATCGACATTGTCAGCACGACGTGTTCAGTTCTAAGGGTGTGAATCGCATGATCCGGACTCGTGTGTGAGGTGCACTACGCTAACAGACGTATATGTACCGTACCGAAAACGCTGGCCTTGCTTCAGTCTTCGTTTCCCGAGGCTTGATCCGTTTCCTTAGGGTGGCTGTTGGCATATTATCTCGGCAGAGTATGTCTCTGGATGTCAGAGCGATTTCAAGCCTTGCTCGTTGGAATTGTACAGGAGGTGCACTACTTTAAGAGGGTACTACGACAGTCCCTCTGCACATGATGGCAGCATGTCACGGCAAACGGAGTAGTCATATTAATTGAATCCAAGTGTTGTAGTTTAAGCGACAATGTCGTCACGATGTGTTTGGTCCTAATAAGTGTGAATCACATTATCCGGACTCGTGTATGAGATGCACTGCGCTAATAGACGTCAATGTACCGTACCGAAAACGTTGGCTTGGCTTCAGTGTTTGGTTCCCGTGGCTTGGTCCGTTTTTTAAGACTGCTGGAAATGCTTCAGTTCCGCCGACATTGTTGGGTTTTTCTCTGTGCTGTCTGTTTGGAAATATCAATTCGAGACACGAATGTGAAGAACTGGGGTACTTTTCTTAATTGCTCGAATGTACGTAATTTGGTGCTTATGTTGCCCTTTTAGTACATGCTATAAATCGTCGGCTGTCTGCGTGTTAAAAAATCATATGACCTGTTTGTTGCCGAAATTATTATATTATCAGATGGTTATTTCTTGAAGATGATAGGCAATCATGCGAGCATTGTGAGTAGCAGTGGTCGAAACGACGTAGTGTATAATGCTAATTGCCTGCTCTTTATTTTTGGTGCTAAAGATGTCGTTCTCTTACTCTAGAATTAACTTCATTTGGATATGACAGATGCATTCAGCTTGTGCATTTTGAGGCAGCAGCCAGCCCACATCAAAATCATATAATAAAAACCTGTTTTCAATGGCCATTCACAGAGAAGAAGCCCGTTTCGTATGACCAGTACATTAGGCTGCTAATGATTGGATCCATATATGGCCTATTCCTCAGTGCTCAATGACAGCTCATGTTTATTTCACATGGTCCTTTAAAGTAAGTTGTTCACCTTTACAATGGAATTTGAACTGAGATAGCAGATTTGTAGCGGAGACCGAAAATTTAAATCTGGTGAAAGAAAAAACTCGTTTGACGCAGTGTTTTCAACAGGAGAATATAAAGGGGTGCGCTTAATCGGTAAATGGCGGTATATAAGTTAGAGAGTGTTCCACATTCCTCTGGGATTTTGAACGGAAATAGACATCTTAACGATCATTCGGTGCAGTTCACAGCCCTGCCCTTCTTAAGACCTTAACCCCCCAGTTTCTGAACTACATGCCCGCGACTGTAAGGAGCTATTTCGCAGAGGGTGTTTCAAGATCACCTTGGCGCCCATGACGTCATAATAACGGCACTCAAATCCTGCCACTCCATAAGCCGTGCGGTGATTCAGGTCAATAAAAAATAATGGTAGAATGGTTCATATCAGGCGTTCGTGAGCACGATTTCCAGATATAACGGCCGTCGATTGGCTCTCAATCAATGTTGTGCAAGGCGCGATGATGTATCATCATGATAATGTACCAACAGTGACGCATCAAAGAGCATATTTAAGTTGGTAAGTGCGTTTGCGAGGAACACTGTTTACATAGATAGGACAGTAGTAATAGGCTTATTCGTCGGAGAAAAACGAGGAGAATGGAGATATAGATGCGTTGATATTTCGGCAATATGCCTGTATCGAAACGAAAAACAGAAGTGAATTCACTTCTGCTTTCTGTCTGCCACGTACTGCACGACGCATGAAATCTGCGTTTGCTGCTATTCACATCACGGCCTGCACCATTTTGTCACGCAGCTGGTCGTCATGTTTCATGGCCGGCCGTGGCAGCATGACCCGCAAGACGAACGCCTGCCGCTGAGTGCTACGGCGAGGAGGTTGTGCAAACCTTCCCACTTTGTCAGACGATGATGAGAAATACAGCATCACCCGACCGATGCGTTTGTTGTGAGTTGATGTGATGGGAACTGAAATGAGGTAGAACGCGT